AGCTGAGGCCAGTACGGCTTGCCTATCGCAGTCAAGCCATGTGCTGACCAAATCCGAATTGCTGCGGACTCAAAAAACTTATCCTAAGCAAAATCCAGGGCAGATTTTACCGATCTCAAATTTGCAGTCCCATTTTTCATTTTGTTCCATGCTGTTTTTATTGAGTTTCATCGAGATGTGGCCTAGCAAAATGAGCTTACCACTATATTTCCGGGAGTTGCGATCAATCATAAGCGATGCTTTCCGTGGAAAATTGGAAACAAATCGATGCTCATTTTTGCTAGCCGATTCATCCTGACGCACTTCACTTTTGCTTGGCAAAAACACTGCCGTCTGCACTGCACTAAGTAGCGATTCCATACTCTGCGATCTCCGATGATTACTCCACTTGCTTAATTCATCGTAATTTAATTTTAGCAGAATCAAGAACGGCATAATGGCTATGAGAAAGGCAAAACGAATATTAGAAACACTATCAGGCAGACCACCAGACGATCCAACACTGGTCACAGCAAATGGAAAAGCTACAAGCTACTATAAACTAAAAACTAGTCCAGGCAATATTATCATCATTATCACTGTCATTATTATTATTATTATTATTATTATTATTATTATTATTATTATTATTATTACGGTGATTATCATTGCTAAAATATTCTTATCACTAATTGTAATCACTTGTCAGTGTCGTTATTGTTATTATCGCCGATTTTATCATTATATTACTATCGTCATCATTTTTATTATCACTGTTGGCATTTTATTATCGTCACTATTATTATCGCTTCTACTTTTGTTATTATTATAATATCAGACATTCAAGGCACTTACTGAAATATTTCGCTGCTGTCAGAAATGTTTCCACGAAAAACAACGCTGGTTAAAAAAAAAGCAAAAATGTACCGGGTTAAGGCGCTTCTACGCTTTACGGCCGAATGCCTTTGATTGGGGACAATGCGGTAAATGAACAGATAGCCATCAACTGTGCCGACCCACACCTGCTGCCGTAAGTACATTACCGACGTTATCTCCATTGTACGCTCATCGCTTGGTCTTCTGAAACTTGTAAACGACCTTTTTCTCTGAACGAAGCTTATCCACCTCACCGGCCTGGATCAGAAATTCTTTACTCTTTCAACAAAGTCTGATTCTATCAACTTTCACTGACTTCAAATCGTCGTACTAACGGGGTCCAATTGTGGCATTTGTAAGAAGTGTATACGAATTAATGGACCGGAACATTTCTTACCATTAAAATAATTTCAAAAAAGCTTCTAATTTTCATTTCTCATCTTCCTTTTCTTTTTTCCTCTTTTTTCTGTTCTTTCCTCCTATAACTTTTTATTTAATTTTGCACGAAAGTGACCTTATTCCCCGGCACGGAACATAAATTTGTTAACACAGTCTGATTTTAATTTGAGGCAAAAGTAAGCTCGAATACGATGAACCTTTGTGATAAAGCAGCATCCACATCAAGAACAAAGATACATTCCTTATCCTTCCACAGCTGCAGCATCCTTGAATGTGCTGTGGCAATCCAGACGCCGTACGGCGATACGCACATGCACCGTATTTTTTCAAACATTGGCGAACTACAAACAGATCCCGATGATGCAACGTAAATCCTGCGAATCGTTGCTAGCGACCTGAAATTTATGCACGTCACGTAAGTATCACGTGAGCTCGGAACTCACGTAAGCTACACGCCACTTACATTACGTAAACTAGAGAATCGCAAGTGCTTATATTAATCTAAGCTGGTCCCACGCAGCAAAAAGCGACTAATGCCCAACTCCACGTAAGGCAGTGAAGTGAAATGCGACAGCAAAGCCGCATCGAGTCTTGTGTCTTAGTTGGAACCTCAAATAGAGCCCTGGCCCCCTGTAGAAGTCTGTTGCAAGTGTGTTAGATTAGTGTAATTAGACATTCCAAAACTGAAATTCTAGTAATTTAGGAAACAAAAGTCAGGATTCCCAAGAGGGCGGCCATTAAATAATACAATACTGGTCAGAGCAACTGCGGAAATTGCCAACTGCATAGTTGGAGAACCGAAAAAGACAGCGAATTAGTAACTAGTTCAAGTATATAAGTATACACATATATTTTTGTTAATGGTTTCGACTTCCCTCCATTTACATATGTGTATTGTTTTTTCTATATATGTATATGTACACATATGTCATCATTATTATTATTGTCATTATTATTAGTATTATTATCAATTATCATTATTATTATCAATTTCCACATACATACATACATATACACAGATACATGTTACTATTATTATATATGCATATATATATACGTCATTATTATTTCCACACACGCTACTATACACGAGTATTTTTATATGATTATTTTCTTTTGCTTTACTTCTTGCAGGACAAAAGGTATTGTGACAGAATGCGCTGTATTTTGGT